GGTTCCCTGGAGGACCGGTCCTGTCCTGTTCCCGCCAGCGCCAGAGACCGTCAGACACTTGGGTGCGTTCCACATAGCGCCTCGCGAGGCTCGCGCCGCGGTGGCTGTGACCCACGCCGGGAGTGGGAGGCGCGGTCCAAGGGACCTGGGACGGGCACCGACCGCCGCGGCCCGCACCCGGGAGCGGAAAAAGAGAACACACACTCTTACACTCGCTTGCACACACTTTACACACATGCATATACTTTTACACACACACTCACACACTTGCGGTCGCATTCCCGCTTAACTGCGCGGCCTTCTAATTAATCCGAGCAATGCGGCGTGCGTACACTGCGCACCGCGGTATTACCGAACACTGCGGTCAGACCGCATCGGCGTTTAGCGCTCGCCGCCCCGCCGGCCGGCGGAAATCGCGCGGTTCGAGACAATCGAAACGGGACTCGGAGGAGCTGCTGGGATCGGGCTCGCGCCCCGCTCGCGCGCCGCGCCGTCGAGAGGCTGGAGTGTCTCTAATAAATCGCAACGGCGAGGACTGGCGGGTCGCCGCCGAGCTGACCGCGACTGGCCGCCCCAAGTCCGAGAGTCCGAGCCCCAAAGCCGGAGGGAAAGGACGGAAAAAAAATATCGCGCCTTTTGTAAATACTCGACGCGACTTTCACTGGGAGGGAGGCTCAGTGACGAACAATGCGAGTGTCTGGGTGGATGGGTCAGTCGCACCGCGTGGCCGCGCGACGTCGGAGCGACGTCAGAGTGACGCCGGGAGCACGACGGACACGTCCATTTGACGTCCAAGTGACTTCCAAGTTACTTCCAAGTGTCGTCCAAGTGACGTCCAAGTGACGTCCAAGTGACGTCCAAGTGACGTCCAAGTGACGTCCAAGTGACGTCCAAGTGACGTCCAAGTGACGTCCAAGTGACGTCCAAGTGACGTCCAAGTGACGTCCAAGTGACGTCCAAGTGACGTCCAAGTGACGTCCAAGTGACGTCCAAGTGACGTCCAAGTGACGTCCAAGCGACGTCCAAGCGACTCGGGGTCGAAACGACATGGGGCGGAAAGGACACAGGAACAAACTGACATCCCGCGGCCCTAAATCACCCAAAACGAACGTCGAAATGACATGCAAACAACGTAAAAGGGAACAAGTTTCCTCTTCCGCTCTGACGGATCACGGTATGGAGGGAGCCACATCTCGTAAACAGTGACAGTCATTACCGCAGCACTACACTCTAAATGTCAGAAGCCCGATATTTTAAAAGAAAGTTTCACCGTGGGCACGGCCGGTGTGACTCGCCGCTTCCGTGGCACCGACTCCAGGACTCCGGCATCTGAATTCCGCAGCTCGCCCCTCCACACTCAAAAAAATTTCAATACAAAATTCTGTAACATGGTTACGCAGTAATTTCCACTACAAATGTTACAGAATTTTGTATCAGCACTGATATAAAATTTTGTATCACGCGTTACGGTAAACTGTTTCCCGGTTACAGAATTCTGCAATGCAAAAATCAGAAAAATTTGTCGTTTCATAAACAAAATTTGAACCTCAACGATCGTTCATTCCTACACATTCACTCCGTCGCTCCTGTACTCCCGAATACCCGGAGAAACCGAACTGCGTTCTCCGGAACCGAACCCCGGTCCCCCGGATTGCCAGCTCGGCATGCTACCGCTTGCGCCACTGCGCCGTATGGGGAGACACGCCGCAGACTGTCGATGACACCGAGCGGGCACGATGCATGCCCAGGTAGTGGTGGGAAACGAGCCCTGCGGCGCGGCAGTTAGAGTTCCTCGCCCGAAGCTTCTAAAGTACCATGCCCCACGTTAGGACTTTTCGCCCGATCAACTGTGATGTTAAAATTAAGCTCGTAATTTGACTTTAAATTTGCGTTTTTAATTTTTGCATCAGACGATATGTAAACTTGTAACGATATGTTACGGTTTTCTGTATCAGTTACAGTTATTTGCATAAAGATCGCATTTTTACATGGAACTATATCACTGATTGTGAATATTGAAACAAAAAGTACAGAATTTTGTGTCAGATTTAGAATTTTGAAGCACTGATTCGTAAATTCGTAACATTCTTGACGTGATACAGAATTTAGGATCAAGGATACAAATATTTGTATCCGACTGACGTGTTACAGAATTTTGTATCAAGATCGTTACAAAATCCTATATTATTTTTTAGAGTGCAGCCCCGCCGCGCCAGCCCCGCTAGCCACGCCACTGCTCGGCTCGGAGACCTCAACGCCCGGGGCGGTGGAAAGCGCACGCTCTTTTCGTAAAATGTGTTATTTCTCGTTTTATGCGGTCCGGGTGTTAGTTCCGCTGTGCACGCGGAGCCGCGCGGAGCAGCCCTTTTCATAAACAAGGAAACGGCAAGGCAGCCCGCTACAGTGGCGGCACCGTCGTCCACGGCCCAACGCGTTTCCGTGCCGCTGCATCGGCGGCATCGGCTGGGTGCGAGGCACGTCACAGTTCACAGTGAGCCAGAAGACCCGGCGCCAAGCCAAAACTGTAAACGCGTTTTGAGCTCCAGAGTCTCCGAACAGTCCTCAAACCGTACGTGTGACCCCACCAATGGATTCCTCGTGCGGAGAGCAATCCATTGGTGGGGTCACACGTTCGGTTCGAGTCCCATTTAGCGACTCTGAAGCTCAAAACGCGTCTTGAATTTTGGCCGCCTCCACCGGTCTTCTGGCCCACGGTGTCCGCCTGGTCAACAGCACTGCGTGCCGATGGCGACCACAAGGAGAAGCCTCTGCCTGACCGGAAGTCCATTTCCCCGTCGCCGCCGTCCAACGCCGTCACTGCAGTGCACCGACTGCCCGCTTCCGGCAGAGATGCACCAAGACAAATTACGCGACACCGCTTTTAGCTTTCGGGGGAGCTCTCGGCGCCCGGCCCGGCAGCACGCTGCTGTCGAAGGTCGCTCTGTCTCTCTCGCACCCCAACGGCACGCCCCACGAGTGCGAGAGAGACAGAGCCTGCAGCTCACCAAGAGGCTGGCCAGGCCGGCGGCGAGGATTCCCGCACCAGTGCGATGACGGCGTGCTAGTCCACACCGAGCTGGCAATGTCTTTCGGCGGTCCTGGAGGCGGTCCTGGAGGCAGTGCCGTTGCTTCCGGCGCGGGACATTCGTCGCGACAGTGAGACTGCTGGAATCGCTATCCACAACCAGAGAGCCAGCAAGCAGCTAGCAGCCAACACGGCCGAAACAACGTCGTTAGACGCATCTCTGATTTCGATCTGGCTCACAGTGGGCCAGAATACCGGTGGAGACGGCCAAAACTCTAGACGCGTTTTGAGCTCCAGAGTCGCTAACCAGGACTCGAACCGAACGTGTGGCCCCACCAATGGATGGTTCTCCGAACGAGGAATCCATTGGTGGGGTCACACCTTCAGTTCGAGGCCTGTTTAGCGACTCTGGAGCTCAAAACGCGTCTAGAGTTTTGGCCGCCTCCATCGGTCTTCTGGCCCACTGTGTGGCTCCGTCATGAGGCCCGGATTAAGTTAGTTTTGCATCGAGCGTAACCTAATTAGTTGGTCCGACTGAGGGAAATCCGTTGGGCACAGTGATGCGTTTAGGGGTCCCGTACGCCCGCGCCCCACACTGTGCTGCTCTCGCGGGCCGGCTCTAACCACCTCGCAGCAAAAACAAGGCTGCCACACGCCAAACGCCCCGTTGACCCGTCAATTTCGGTAAACTTTCCCCCCGTTCGTTTGGCGCACGCACAAGGTCACGAGGGTCGCGCGGTCCGGGGAGACGGCTTGGCTCGGCGGGGCCCGGACGGGCCTCGACGCCGCGGCCGAAAGACGTCGAAAGCGGCAACGCGGGAATGTTTGGCCGTCGCTGTCTCTCTCGCACCCGGGCGGCACGCCAGGCACGGCCCGCGAGAGCGAGAGAGACAGGGCGACGAAAGCGCTGCCGTTCGAAGTGAGTCTGCTGCACCGCTAGGGCTAGGGCCGGCGAGGGCCATGGTAGCAGCGCGTGCCCCGGCTTCCCGGCCGGCCATTTAATTAGCAAGCTGTCGGAGCCAACGGGACAGGGTCCAGCGCGGGCACGGCACGCCACGCCACGCCACGCCACGGCATGGCAGCCTCCGCCAGCCCGCGGCAGCACGGCCAGTCCGTCAAGGGAGGCGACGCCCGGCACCGACATGCCGCAGGCCCGCAGAAGTGGGGCACTTTTCACGAGGACCTCCCATCTCCTCACCCCGCCACTTTTCCTACGCCGCCAGTCTCGTCCTGCATTATCTCTGCAAACTCAAGTGTCGACATAGTACACTCCACCTGGAGTCAACCTGGCATGTACACTCCACCTGGCGTCAACCTGGCATGTACACTGTTTCTGAAGTCCCCTACCCTTTGCACGTAAAGCGGAGCAACAGTGTACTTGCAGGTACGCCACCTGGCGTGTACTTGGCATGCATGCTCCAGCCTGGAGTGTACATGCAAGGTTGACTCCAGGAGGAGTGTACATGCTATGTTGACTCCAGGTGGAGTGTACCATGTCGACACTTGAGTTTGTAGAGTATTGATAATCAAAGTCCTTAATATTTTTGAAAAATTTAAAAAGTTGTAACTTAATTTATTATTTTAAAAACTAACATTTAAAAGTAAACACAAGGTTTTTAATAGAAGGTTCATTGGTGCGTTGGCTGCCCCACTGCGATTTTGTTCGAAATGAGTTAGTGGAAAGCGAAGGACGCTTTTCCCCAATCTCCCCGCTGCCAGTGCCCTGCGCGCCCTGCGTCTCCGGATCATCATCTCCGCCCTCCATGCCGTGCCGTGGTCGTGCGCCGTCCTGCGCGCCAGATGACCGGACAATAATTTTAGGTTCCACTGCGAGCAAACGGAACTAACCCGTCCTGGTGCACTCGCTGCTCTGCTTCTAGATGTGGCACACTGTGCAGCCGCGCGCGCACACTCGCTCACACACACACGCGCACACACACGCACTGGCCGCGTCCGCGATCGGCCGGCCACTCACCTTCCACGTTCTGCTGGGGGGCTTGCAGTGCCTGCGACTGCGCTTGGGGCAGCGCCGGGGGCAGCGCCGGGGGCTGTACGGGGGACTGTGCCGGGGGCTGCTGCTGGTGGCTGGCGGGCAGCCCCAGCACCACGGCCAGGGCCAAAGTCCAGCACACACCCTGCCAGCGGCGGGGCAACATGGTCACTGCGTCAATCGAGCCACTATGTTAATCCTTGCTCGGCCCGGTAATCCTCTGCTGCCGCCCTCACACACACACACACACGCACACGGTCACTGTCACACACACACGTATAGCGTCGCGACGCCGGACGCTGAAGCGGCGGTCCGTGCAGCACGTCTGCTTTCCTGCGAGGGTTCGTGGAGACTGAGGAGGGCAGGGCTTGGCTTGGCTTGGGCAGCGAGGCGGCGCCGTGCCCTGCCTGCCTGCCTGCCTGCCGGCCGGGCTGCCTGCCCGCCGGCCGCGCCGGGGCTGCACGGGCGGGAGTAGGGCGGGACGGGGCGGGCAGGTGGAGGAGTGGAGGGAGAGGCCGCAGCAGGTGGGAGAAACGGGGGCAGAGAAAGACAGAGCGAGTGACGTCACCCCTTCCCCTCTCTCCCTCTCAGTCTGTCTCTCTCTCACTCGCGAGGATTCTAACGGACCGTCTTGCCGGCCAGGCCGCGGGCAGGCCGCGGGCCAGGCGACGCCGTCATCGAGACCGGCATGATCCGGGCGCATCCAACCCGCCATTCCGGAACACGTCGCTCCGTCTCTCTCGCTCCCCCGTCGGACGCCGCACCTGTGCGAGAGAGACAGAGAGCTCTGCTGAGCCTGAGTCTTGCCGCGGAAGACGCGACGCGACGCACGGCCACTTGCTGCTTATCAGGGCACTCTGTGGGCCTAGGCAGCCCAGGCTAGCCGGCCAGGCATTCCGTGCTCGGGCCTGTTTCATCGGACTGTTGCATTTCCAGGTGAGCGAAACGACGTCGCTATCATGTTGATCTTTCCAGACGTCGTGCCGAATTTTGGGGCCAAAGTTCGGTTATTCCTATGGGTAAATTATTCTTCCAGTTTCCAGCTCTGCGTCCATTTGTAAGGGAAAATATCATTCCATTTCGGGAGTTTCCTGTTTATTGCGTTCATTTCGATTTATCTCCAGTGCAGTGGAGAGCATTCCTGCGTAAAACGCGTCTCTTCCCCGCCCGGTTCGGTTCTAACCCTTGTGCCGGCGCGCCGGGGCACGCCGCGCGCCATTTGACGGGCTGCTTCGCGCGGCCGCCGCCAGTCAGCGCCACCGACGCATCGCGTCGCATCGCGTCGCATCGCGTCGCGCCAACCGAGACAGGTGACACACTAAGACGCGGCGGCATTGTTCTTCTTTCTGGTGTTCTCAACCGGCGTGGCGTGGCGTGGAGCCCGCGGAGCAGCATCGCGGCATCATCGAACCCGCAGAAAGGGAAATGCGTTTTCTGCCTTCTTCTTCTTCTTCTTCTTCTTCTTCTTCTTCTTCTTCTTCTTCTTCTTCTTCTTCTTCTTCTTCTTCTTCTTCTTCTTCTTCTTCTTCTTCTTTCTCCTTCTCCTTCTTCTTCTCCTTCCTCTTTTTCTCACATTCGGCCCCTCAGCACCTTGCAGCGCAGCACCTTGCCCGCCAGTGCACCGCCGCCTCCCTGCCTATCGACCTTCCCCACCGAGTACTTACGAGGAGTACCCCTCCAACAGGTGGGAGGCACGATGGGTCTGTCTGCGTGCCTGAGTGTGTGTTTGTGTGTGTGTGTGTGTGTGTGTGTGTGTGTGTGTGTGTGTGTGTGTGCGTGTATGTAAGTACATGAGTGCGAGTGAGTGGGTGGGTGCGTGGGTGGATGAGTGCGCGTGTGTGTAAGGATGACGAGAGCGAAGGTGATGTGAGGGAGACACTTTTCTTCGACACTCTGTTCGGGCAGTCTCGCTCTCGGTGGAATGAAGTCGCTTTCGAAACACTGAGAAATCTTACTTCCAAAAAATATTTAACTCCTGAAGCGTCTGCATGAAACACTGAATCAAAATCGAGCTGAACTTCTACTTTGAATTCATAACTTACTGTTAGTTTTATTTTTGATGTCAGGAACCATCTGTCTGCTTCGCTTTGTTTACATCTTCTCTTTGGGAACGAAAGGTCTCTCCTTCGTTCTTAGCCACCCGTTTGAAGAGCAATAAAAACCGTCAGAAAGAGGACTAGGGCGCGCACAGTGGGCCAAGACCGGTGGAGGCGGACAAAACTCTGGACGCGTTTTGAGCTTCAGAGTCGCTAAATAGGGCTCGAACCGAACGTGTGACCCCATCAATGGATTCCTCGTTCGGAGAGCAGTTCATTGGTGGGGTCACACGTTCGGTTCGAGTCCCATTTAGCGACTCTGGAGCTCAAATCGCGTCTAGAGTTTTGTCCACCTCCGTCTTCTGGCCCACTGTGGCGCGCCCGGGATGCCGAGCCAAAAAGTGGCCAAAACGCCGCGGCTGGCTGCAAAGGCACGCCATCGGCTCGGCGATGATACCCGGACTCGACTCGGCCAACATGATGCCGCCGGGCCGGGCCGGGCCGGGCCGGGGTAATGGCAGAGGCCCGGCCGAGGGCCTGGCTCCGTCACGCCCTGTATCTCGCCGCCTCGCTGCATACCGCGAGGCACGCGGCAGCACACCGTATCCATGCCAGTGTCACACGCCGGGCAGCCAGCAGCGGCAACAACAACAACAAACGCTGGCGCCGCGCCGGCGTTTGAACCCAGGCCAGCGACACCCACTGTGTGTGGGCGCGTCAGCCTTTCGAGTGTGGTGGTAGTATTGATAGGATGATGGAGGCCACGATGACTTGTCACGGAGGCACTCTTCGTCGGCACGGATGGAATGGAAACATAATCGAAGCACGGCTGCCGCGGATCCCAACCCTGAGCTGGCGAGCTGGTGGCTGGAGTTGGATCCCGGACAGTGCTTTGTCGCTCTGTCTCCCTTGCACCCGAACGGCCGAGGGGGCAACCACTCTAAAAATCTTGTGTCTCCTTGGCGCTAGAAATCTCTGGGAAATCTGAAATCTTGCCCCCAAAAGAGGCCAAAAACAAGCTAATTTTGGGCGGAATATCGGTTAAAATCTTGCGAAATCCGATGAAATCTTTACCCTTAAGAAATCTTGTGTCCCCAAATATCCAATGTGGTTGCCCCCTCGCGAACGGCGCAGTGCGTGAGTGCGAGGGAGACAGGTTGTTGGGGCCTGACTGGTCCCGGCGGGGCGGAGTTTGCGAGTTCGCCGACCGCGGCGGTCAATCGGATTCCAATTTAGATCCGGGGGACGCCGCGCCGCGCCGAACGAGTCCCAAACGGCGAACGGGGGGAAAGGGGTCACGCGCCGCCTTACCGAGGCACCGGGACGACGAGGGGTCAGTGCGTGCGGCGTGCGCGGGAGTGGTGTCGGTGCATACCGCCTCGCCCCGCCCCGCCCCGCCCCGCCCCGCCCCGCCCTGGTTGGCCGCCCCGCCCCACCCTGGTTGGCCGCCCTGTCATCCCAAGAAGGCTGCCGAATCGCTTACTTTCCCGGCACCCTCGCCCCGGCCTCGCCCCGGCGTGGCCGTCAGCCCGTCCGTCAGCGCGAACATGGACAAGGCCCTCTCAGAGGCCGACAAGGCCCTCGACAACGCGGCCGCACGCACGCGGCCAGCCCGGCCCCGCCCGCCACCCGGACCGCTTTCGCGTCGAAGAAAGGGCGAGTGAGGTCGCGAGGGTGAGGGTGCGCGCCACTCTCTGTCTCGCGGCCGCACGGGGCGCCCGTGAGTGCGAGAGAGACAGAGCGGCCGGACGGCAGTGGCGCCGCCCGCGGAGTCGAGGGTAGGCCACGCCGCGAGGCAGCAGTGGCCGGCGGGGCGGCCTACCCTCGACTCCGCGGGCGCTTCCAGCCCCACTTCCAGAAAACCTGCTTCCAGCCGTCCAGACCGCTTCCAGCCTACGTCCAGACCGCTTCCAGCCGTCCAGACTGATTCCAGCCTACGTCCAGACTGATTCCAGCCTACGTCCAGACTGATTCCAGCCTACGTCCAGACTGATTCCAGCCTACGTCCAGACTGATTCCAGCCTACGTCCAGACTGATTCCAGCCTACGTCCAGACCGATTCCAGCCTACGTCCAGACCGCTTCCAGCCTACGTCCAGACCGCTTCCAGCCTACGTCCAGACTGATTCCAGCCTACGTCCAGACTGATTCCAGCCTACGTCCAGACTGATTCCAGCCTACGTCCAGACCGATTCCAGCCTACGTCCAGACCGCTTCCAGCCTACGTCCAGACCGCTTCCAGCCTACGTCCAGACTGATTCCAGCCTACGTCCAGACCGCTTCCAGCCTACGTCCAGACCGCTTCCAGCCTACGTCCAGACTGATTCCAGCCTACGTCCAGACCGCTTCCAGCCTACGTCCAGACCGCTTCCAGCCTACGTCCAGACCGCTTCCAGCCTACGTCCAGACCGCTTCCAGCCTACGTCCAGACCGCTTCCAGCCTACGTCCAGACTGATTCCAGCCTACGTCCAGACCGCTTCCAGCCTACGTCCAGACCGCTTCCAGCCTACGTCCAGACCGCTTCCAGCCTACGTCCAGACCGCTTCCAGCCTACGTCCAGACCGCTTCCAGCCTACGTCCAGACCGCTTCCAGCCTACGTCCAGACCGCTTCCAGCCTACGCCCCCCCCCCCCCCCCCCCCCCCCCCCCCCCCCCCCCCCCCCCCCCCCCCCCCCCCCCCCCCCCCCCCCCCCCCCCCCCCCCCCCCCCCCCCCCCCCCCCCCCCCCCCCCCCCCCCCCCCCCCCCCCCCCCCCCCCCCCCCCCCCCCCCCCCCCCCCCCCCCCCCCCCCCCCCCCCCCCCCCCCCCCCCCCCCCCCCCCCCCCCCCCCCCCCCCCCCCCCCCCCCCCCCCCCCCCCCCCCCCCCCCCCCCCCCCCCCCCCCCCCCCCCCCCCCCCCCCCCCCCCCCCCCCCCCCCCCCCCCCCCCCCCCCCCCCCCCCCCCCCCCCCCCCCCCCCCCCCCCCCCCCCCCCCCCCCCCCCCGGGGGGGGGGGGGGGGGGGGGGGGGGGGGGGGGGGGGGGGGGGGGGGGGGGGGGGGGGGGGGGGGGGGGGGGGGGGGGGGGGGGGGGGGGGGGGGGGGGGGGGGGGGGGGGGGGGGGGGGGGGGGGGGGGGGGGGGGGGGGGGGGGGGGGGGGGACCGCTTCCAGCCTACGTCCAGACCGCTTCCAGCCTACGTCCAGACCGCTTCCAGCCTACGTCCAGACCGCTTCCAGCCTACGTCCAGACCGCATTCCAGCCACGTCCAGACTGCCGCCAGCCTACGTCCGCCGCTTCCAGCCTACGTCCAGACCGCTTCCAGCCGTCC